GGCTATCCCCACCCCTTGATAAATGCCCCACCCCCTGGTACTCATTTTGTGACTGAAAGTCCCACCCCCTAACTCCTGACCTTTGTCACCAGAAGTCCCTCCCTTTGCCCTCAGAAGTACTTCTTTCAGCAAAGGGTTTTGCCATCTCAGAACCAAAAAAGTACCAAATTATATTCTAAGAAGTAAATATCTACAACATTAATTAATTTGATTTCAAAAAATATTTTTGTCCAGATTTACATGTGTTGGTGCAGTGCACATAGAGGTGATTGCACAATAGCTTAAAATAAAGTCTTGCTCTTGTATATTGTGAAGGGGTGCATATAGGTTTGTTGGAGGGCTGTGGGTGTATTCATATGTGGGGTGAGGGAGCATGTGGTCGTATGTGTGGATATGTGAGGTGTGGGTGGGTGTGGGGTTTGTAGGGGACTGTGTGTGGTGGGAGGGTGGCTGGGATGTGTGAGGGGGTGTGAGTGTGGGGGTCTGCGTTGAAGGCAATGCAAGGGGAGGTGTGGGTGAACATATATGGTGAGGTGTGCATGTGGGACTTACCCTAAAAACACACACACACACACACACACACACACACACACACACACACACACACACACACACACACAGAGTTCCTGCCTGCACACACACACACACTGCCCCTACCTACATACACCCCCCACCCCCCCGTACTGGCATGGCCCCGTGCTCCCAGTCCAGTGATGCTGCCAGGAACCATGTGGTGCTGAAGCAGGGTGGGGGCAGGAACCACGGAAACGGCTGCGGGTGGTGGGGCTGGGTGTCTGTCTTCTGCTGCTGGTTCCCTCTGGGTCCTACTGCCCCTAGCTCCTGTCATCTTTGACAGATGGCCAGGAGCAAATAAATATTAATTTACTAATTTTTTTAGGGGCCTCACAGGCCAGATAGATTGGTCTGGTGGGCCGGATCCAGCCCATGTGTCAGATTTTGCCCACCCCTGGCATAGGCAGAGATTAACATTATGTGTCCCCAAGTTCAGGAGCCATTAAGCACTGGTGCAGTATAAATGGTAATCACTCTCACTTTATTTATTCCATGCATTAATTGAAACATACTATATGCAGTAGTTACTACACATTTAGTTTAGTACTTCCTTAATGAAATACTAATTAAATGCACAGTATCTACAGTTTGCATTAATGCACACTAGTTACTGTGCAGTAGCTCCTGTGCAGTTTTTTTGTTATGGTTACTGTACAGTAGCCTAATAACACTGTGCAGTAGCTTACTAATATGATTTTTGATGAACATGCTATTTTGCAGTATTATTAGGGTACCACGCAGTAAGCATCTCACGTAGATGCACCCACTATTTCTAAACAAGCAGTAATTTAAACCAGTACAAGTGACTACATCAGGATAGCAGCTTATTAAATGATTTTTTAAACAAAAAATGTGTTCAGAAGTGCTTACGATTGCAAACAGCTAGCCTGTTTCCGCCAACTAGCTGTGTTGTCCACGAAAACCCAGTAGAACTTCCACATTGCTCATATATCCTGCTTCTTCTTAGGAATCCAAAGTCATAATCCTTATATAGAAACATGGAAAGTAATTCAGTAATATAGGTTATACCACAGAATCAAGTTTATTGCAAGGAGAAATAGTTCTTTGAATTTCAGTGAAAGTATGTGCTTATAAAGTTGCTCATGATTACATGATTGCAGAAGTATGGCTTTAGTTTGTATATACATGCAGTTATATGTCAGTTGTTACCATATGAATTGGAGAGAACCAAAAGAAAGAAAAAAAAATTTTAAGAGATTTGAAATTCTGGTCTTGTCTATGTTTAAAGCAGTGGTCTCCAACCTTTTTAAGTAGATCATCTTAAGCAACCCAAGATCTATCATGCACCACCACCACCACCCCTCTCCCCCTCACCCAGCAGGTAACTGTGGAAAGGGAAGGAGGGGGCAGATTGAGGCAGAGGGAGAAAAAATTATATGGGGGTGCATCTTCCCAGCAAGTAAGTCAAGTACATCCCACCCAGCCGGAGCCCTACTCAACTTACCCCTGCTCCTGCCTCTGCAACACTGTCCCTCACCACGGGGACCCTGATCTAGCCCCTGCCCCTTCCCTCCCCCATGGACTGACCTGCTGGGCTAGGGCATGTGCATACGTGCACGCAGGCACTCAGCCCCCCACCCCAGCCTCTGATTGACTCCAGGAGGCTCTGAGATCTACCAGTGGATGGTGACCACTGATTTAAAGGGTCTTGCTGGCATAGCTATGCCAGTACAGCTAAATTAACAAACTTTCCTAACCTATGTGGGAAATCAATTTTATATTGGCAAAAGAGTTCTTTTCTCAGAAGAGCAAATGGATTAACTGTGTACAGACACCAGGAGTAATTTATTAGCTTTTTAATGCTAAAATATGCAAGCCATTTGCTGACAGAGTCAGTGAGGAGTGAGGACAAAAATAATCAGCCCCACAGCTAATATGGTTATGTCAAAACTTTGAATGTAGACCACTTCTGTGACAGATGAAGGGGAGAAGGAAATAATGAATGCTATGGTTATAGAATAACTGTAAATTTAGGGAGGCAATATTAAGAAGAGTTGATAGTGTGTGAGTATCCACTAGGATATAGAGTGAAAAAAAGTTAAATATCATGGCCACATCCAGACAAGTGAGCATGTGCCTGTTGTGGCATCTCAAAGTAGTTTGAGAAGCTGCAAGAGACATACTGGAAATGAAAAAATGTTCCCTGCACTGCATATTTGCAGTGCAGACTTTAAGGTTAGGTACAGATATTACACATAAACTGGGTTAAGTAATCAGAAACTGGTTTAAACCTGTAACAAAAGATAAGTTTAGTGCACATAAACCAGTTTCAAAATGGCTGAAACTGGTTTAAGATATATCTGGTTGAATGTAGTATCAGCCTTAACTGATCTGGGTCAAAACAATTTATGCAATGTCTGTCCCAGACCCCTTCCTGGTTTAAGTTAAACCAGAGTCCCCCAGTATCCCAGATGCTTTGCAGCCCTAGGCTGGGCTCTGAGCTCCAGAGAACAGGCTGGCCCCGCCCCTCTTCTCCCTAGCCTGAGATCTGGGGGAGACTGCAGGCACAGCAGGGTCTTGCCTGGCTTCCCTTGCTTCTCACTGCTTAAGCAAGGATTCCCCCCTCCTTCCCATCTCCCACAGCACAGACCCCAGCCCCTTGGACCCTAGGCATGTGGTATGCTAGCTAATGCTGAGAGGTGTGTGTGTATGTGTGTCTCCAGTTTCACTGGGACAGGACAAAGGCAGACAGGACAAAGGCAGACAGGACAGTGTCCACCTAAGGCTTTTTGGAGCTAAACAATAGGTCAGCTGGTAATGTCCCTCTGTTCCTTCCTTGGAAAAAGCTGTTTAAGAAGAGCTTTAACTAATAAGAGCGACTTTTGTTTTGTTGATAAGCTGATAAACACTGTCAGGTTTGTAGACATTATAAAAAAACAGAGAGAGGGACATTTAAAAGCTCAGTATCATCAACAGTTGCATGCATTGCACACCCCCCCAGCCCTTTGCCTCAGAGTGCTAGCCCAGGGCTGGGGTCTGGCAACACTCCCACCCCTTGAGCAGTGAGTGGGAAAAAGCCTGAGATGGTGCAGGCAGAGTGGGGGTTTAAACTTCCACCTAAACAGAGGTCCTGCTGAGGCCTAGCCCTGCTCCCCCTCAGCTCAGCAGTGTGGAAGGGAAGAGATTGCTGCTTTAGCACCTCCCACCCCTTGACTTCAAGCCTGAGCCACTGCAGGCATGTGCCTGCATTTCTTCAGTCCAGAGGGAATGTCTGTGTGGTTGAAAACTGGTTCAACCTAGGCAGGTTAGACTAGCCTGAAAAGATTGAATCAATTCAGGTACAGGCTTTTTGAATGTCTGTCCCTAGCCTAAATTTGATACCAGGAAATCCTGGTACCAAAAAAAAGTAACCATGCTGCAGCCTTGCCCTGCTCCTGTTTACTCCAGCATGTCCTGGAGCAGCAGCAACATGCGGCAGCCATAGAGACGCTCTGGCCAGGTGCTAAAACATCTCTCTGGAGGACCCAACCTCTAGTTGCCTCTGGGCATGCCCCAGGAGCGCAGCCTGTGTCACTGCTTTTTTTCAGCATGCTTTTTTTTTTTGATAAAGGGATTTCCCAATATCAAATTTAGAGTCGGCCCTACAAATATACAGCATGGAACAGTTTTTCATTCCAACCATGCCTCTTGTGTTGTCTCAAACTGCTTTGAGAGGCCACAAAAGGGGCATGCTCACCTATCTGGACACGACCCATGATTCCAATGATCTGACTCAAGCAGGGAGTATAGTGTTAAAATTAGAGCAAAAATAGGCTGCTTGTCTCATTTTTCTCTTATTTATACAGGCAGTCCTTGACTTAAAACTGTTCGAGTTACAACAAACGTCACTTGCGACCTTTGTAAATTATGATAGTGTTTCAAGGTTCCGATAAAGTTTCAACTGTACAACACTGGACACAGCTGTCTCCAGCTGGTAAATCTGTTGTGGTGGGATATGGGGGCTGGGGGAGTGGATCAAAGCCCCCCACAGCAAGGGAGGGATTGGGGCTGGGGCTGGGGCTGGG